GCCTCTTCATGGTTTTGGCACGATAAATCATCATTTATATCGACAACCACAGAATATTATGGACACTATAAGTATGGCATTGTTTGTAATTTAAGTTCACTATGGTATTCCCGATAAACTCTATCATTTCATTTGTGCACCAATGTGTAATTAAAAAATCTACGAAAGCTTCTTTAAATTGTATGTACGAAGTTCTTTCATAAAATCAACTGGTCGAATTTGTTCTTGTCCGGTAATGAAATAATTTTTGTTTCGTACTTCTTGTCGTTTGGCTCGTTCATAATCTTTAATTGACGGCGAAAAGTATTGTCGGTCGAAAATGATATCTACTCGTGAGGCATGTGTACTGTTAGTAGCGACATAATATTTTTGGAAATACCACTAAATGTTTTGGGATATTTTTTAATGTATGCAGTAAGAAGAATCCATCAAAAATGACAACATCAAAACGTCTTGGTACGTCTTCACAGTTGCCTTTAAAATTTCAACCATTGCTGATTTCTGAGTTTTATGTATTGTACCATCTTCATGACAGTTCTCGCACGCTCTTAGCAGCTGTCCCCTCGCCTGTCAATGTCTTATGCTGTTCAAAATCGCCTGGCATTGTACATATTTACCCTCGCCTGTCAATGTCTTATGCTGTTCAAAACCGCCTGGCATTGTAAAAATTTACTCTGAGACGTTTATTTGAAGACATATAAAAATTTCAAGTATACAGGATAAAGTTTATTAATTACCTCATCAACTGTGCGTTTTCTAATTGATCTGTCATATACTTCTGCTTATTGTAATCACCTGTCAATTTTTTTTTAAGATGTACAATAAATAAACTTTATCCTATTAAATTTTCAAATTTACAGAAACAAGTTTTGAAACCCAATTTACTTAACAGTTCAAAAAATAAAGGGGCTGATGACGTGCAGGGCTGACGCCTGCCAGGTCATGGCTATTGCTCTTAGAATACCATAAATCGTAAGTATACAAATTTCTAACCTTACAGGGAGACCGTTACTCCCAGGGTTCACTGGCTCTTGGACTATAACTTATACGTACGTGAAACATTTAGTTTTATAAATGTTAAATAATAAAGACTGTTATATTATACGTTCTTGCTAAGACGTTGCATATACCTGTATTTTATATTATGAACATTTAAAAATCCAGACTGTAGATAATCGGTGCCAATCATGTCAGTTCGATTATCAAACTCATCAATAGTTAAATACATAGTTGTTTTTTTTTATTTCTCAGCGTTAGGCCAAGGATACACTAGGTGACAAATGCCGCGCAACACTTGTCGTCAGCGACGTTGCGTAAAGTGGTCAACATCAACGTCGCTGTGGACCCGTGTCACTTGACATAGCGACCGAAGTCTGGCAACGCGCAACTTCACCCAACGTCTTTGGCGATATGTGTCGCAGGATATTTGTCCCTTAGCTTTATTTGGCTCTCAAAAAAGTCCAAATATTTTATTAATTTCTTTGATCACGCCTTTGACCCCGATAGGGTGCAGAGACTTTTCACTATTTATGTTATGAGTCCCATGTAATAGGGGGTGAGCCTATTGCCATATACCGGGCACAATTCCAGACTCCGTGCTACTAATGAGATTTTTTTTAAAACCTAGTAATATTTTGCTCGACCCGAACCCGCCACCCCTTGTCCGACAGTCGCAATTGCGACCACTCGGCCAACGAGGCCGTAGTCCAAATATATCTATAAGAATATGTCGGTCAATATTCAGCATTATCTTACAGCTCCATTAAGGCGTTTGTTACTTTTAATAAACATAAATTCTGGTCATAACGCGCATTATTAGATAACTAAACGATTTCATGCGCTCATTACGTTGCACAGACATAAGGTGTATTATTATTACCTTTATCTATATAACTTATATGTTAAGGAAGTTTAATGATAAAATATAGTCTATATCTGTAGCTGAAAGAATAATTTTGAAGGCAAACCCGATCATATTTGATTGCATTTTACCTTTAAAGTATAAAAATAAAATGGTTTAAGGATAAGCATATCTAAAGATTTGCAACATAACATATTGTGTAACCCACCTGCTTTTATTTTTTTAAGGTAGTATTTTTTTATGGTAAACGAAGGGACACAGGACTCCGACTTTAAAGACGCCTGTAAATGGAAATCATAAAAGCTTTGCCAATGGTGATTTAATTACTACCCGCTGTCAGCTTACCAGGATACCATACAACTTCATATCGGATAAAAGAGCATGAATAGTCAAATGAATTTTTGAAATTTCTGTGCGCTGTACCGAAAATTGAAAGAATATTGCATTTTACGGACAAAGGATTTTTAGAAAAATTGAACATTGAATGGATGGACGATTCCGTGAACTGACCTATCGCACTAATAAATACAGTTATCCAATACAAGCTCTGCTTTGTCAGTTTAACAGAGTAAAAATGAAAACATCACGGATCCTCCTTCTAATAAGTTTGTTATGAACCCGCTAACCCAACGCTGAACCGTCCCTAACTTTTTATTTACGAACTCCTTCCATGGTGCAGAAAAAGTTTCCTCAAGACGAGCGTTCAGGGAGTAATCCTCACGCAAAAACTGTCCACGTACAGCGACAGAAATGACCAAGTTTTATCATAAAAAGTAATACTTCATCAGGACAGTTGTCAACTGAAATACCTCTTGTTCTTGTTAATCGGTGGTCCCATTACGGAACGTCTTACTATGGAGAGAATGGCATCTACAAATCATAGAAACTATTAAGGTTAACGAGGCAAGCATTTGAATGAAGCATCGTGGCCAATTATTAAAGAGAGCTACGGAAAAAGCTAAGCGTACATTGGCATGCGTGACGTCACCCACTGTGGCGCCCGTCCCCGTCCTGAGTAATGGCTTCAATAAATTAACCTTGCGTCCAGATGTCTTGGAACCAGACCTGCAGGCGTTCCCGACCTGCAGATTAATTGCCATAACGTTATATGCAATCAGTACTGACCTAAATATACTCATTAGACCAAACGAAAACATCTCATTATCTCATTCCACAGAATCCGCAAGAAATGTCTCAAGAACTAGCACTACCGTAGTGAATTTCATTTTGTCGCTCATAATTATGAAAATGTTTGAACAGTGAATTAACTTGTTATGTAGAATTTAACAACAAGAAAATGCAAACAACTTAGAACGAATTCTGCAGCCGTGGAATATTTAAATAAGCTCTTAAAGAATGCTTCCGTGCAATGAGTATTCATAGAATACGGCGAATGAAAATTGCTTTTCCATTAATGCTTAACTGAAGCATCTGTTGCGAATACAGCTGCTTAGTTATTTTCTTCTGGATCCTTTGATCTTGTTTCCTTTGTTTAATCTGAAGTAAATAACTTAGATATTGTTTATAACTTTCTAGTTTCAGCTTAACACACTATAGATAACAAGATGATGTGTATGTATTTAGATCTAAGACACTGATTGCTGCCTGATTTATCTAGATCATTAATTAGTATCTCTGATAACATATTTTAACTTACTGCATACAATAAACGTCCCTACAAGTTATTATATTCCTAGGAAACTGCAATAAGGTCCCGTTTACACCATAAAGTCCGCAGAGGAAACTAATTTTGGCCAGATATTATCAGAGTTTGCAAACATTTGATGAACTATTGGGCAACGCAGGACTGGCTGAAACTGGGGAAAATGTATTCATGAATCAGTCGGCGAAGTTTAGCATTGCGATGAGGTGCACACCGTACCTTATCGTACCGTATATCGGATACGACGCGTCATATGTGTACTCACCTTAAAATACCGGGTGCCAACATTGCTCGCATATGTGCAATATTGAAATACCTGATGCGTTTTATTCATATTTTGTGCTGCGTCGATGGAATATTTTGCGTAAAGAAGCATATTACGCAGGCATTGGAACGTTTATGTCGTCATTGAAATTGTAAACATTATGTAAATAAACTTTGTTTTTGTCTAAACGTAAAGGCGTTAAGAGATTGTACACATTTTATACAAGGTTGAACACAGAGAAAATCGAGCGTCGTGCTAGAAGAAACAGACTAATGTCATCATCAACAACGAGAATTTCATGAAAATAGAGTTCATAAAACTTTCGTTATAGACTTTTACGAGGAATTATTCTTCAATGTCATTAGATGCATGTAGTATATCTAAAACAAGATGTATCATTTCAAAGCCTCAATTTAAATCGGTATATTCAGCGACTACGTATTAGTAAGTTACAAGCCTACTACAAAGCCCACTGTTTCATGCTACGGTTGGTTATGTAGTAGTTCATTACACGCCAATTTCCGTGTCGCTAACCATACTAGTGGTGCTCGGTGCGGCTACGATCACACTCCAATCGCCTCGCAGGCCGCGGCACATTCAATGCAAATTATACTCCGAATAACAACCAAAACCAACTCCGCCCCGGCACGTACAACCGTATACATGTACTAGGACACTAGATTTAATAAAACTTTCATCTGATACAACACAGTGTACACACTCATAGATCGCAAACTTTGTAGCACAAAACGTAACCTCTGATTCCACGGCAAAACGTCTGTGAATAACTCATACATACGCTAAAGAACATTTTGAATAATAAAATACCCCTTTTTCTGCTTCATAAAGTGTTGGGTGGCAAACAGGTTCTCCTTACGGTTTTCATTTTAATCTAAAAGGCAAAACCACTGACTCATTCATCACAGTATCTCACGACTCATGTGGAACTTTGCAAAGGCTCCTTTAGGGACGCAAGGGATAAAATAGGATTTCACAAAATTCAACAGCGATCAAAGATTCGGGAAAAGCTATGCTAAAAACCGAGACTATCCCGAATACATTCATGTTTATCTTTCTAACGAAATGCACAGATCCCGCATTTTTTAACTGTTTAAAGAGAATAAAACATTACCGGCATTATCACTTTACGAGATTTGTAAAACAAAGCATTAAATTTTGTAATAATGTAAACCATTTTCTTTCTTCCACAGATATGTCGGAGGCAGCTGTGCCATCGGATAATCATCTCTAAACAAAGCCACAAAGGATGGTGACAAGCGAACGGACGCTTTAAGATGTGTGCGTGAATGTGTTTATTGGAACGACAATTTTCGGGAACATTAAAATTGTGAAAAGTATGCCAAAAACAAAAACTTGTGGTGTTGAAGGAAAGTGTGTTCAGTGAACGTTGTTTTACGTTGTATGGTGTAAAGTATGCAATAGTTGGGTTGGATAAAGCGGGTGGAGGGATGCGGAGAGGCGGCGTGTGACGGCGCGGCGCGCGGCCAGCTAGCGGCACCGCGGCGGATGCGGCGAGCCAGCGTGTACAGCGTGAGCGAGGGCCTGGAGCGGTGCGCCTGTGCTAGGTACACCACACACTTATTTATTACTATCCGGACTAGTCCTGTTCATTGTGCTATTAAATTGTATGCTGCGACTGCGACAAACACAACGCTGCGCTGTATTCATTAGCATCCCTATAATTTTATAGTAGAGGAAGTATATGAACAATAATTATTTTATTAACTTGTTTAAAAAAGCTGACTTCAATCATCTTATTTTATTAACTTTTTGAAGTCGGTTAATAAATATTTCTATATATTCTATGTATAGAATTATTTAAAATTTATTTAGAAGATAAAAAAATAAAAATTTACTTGAGGCTTAATAAGATTGAATTTAATATGCAAACGGTAAAATGTATCAATTTCATCCAAGTAATTAAAGCAGTTGCATATTGATGATTCCGTTTGCATTCAAACTTCAACCTCCATGTTTTACCGCGTTATATCAATAAGCAATTTATGCCTTTCATATTTTCATTGACATTTTCGCAAAAATATACATATTCCATTTCGCGATACACATTTTCACTTTCCAACGTCACAATTTACGAATAATTTCGGTGAATGAGACAACAATCCCACATTTGCATCCGAGGCGAGTGATATTTATTTTAATGTAACTACCTTACGTAACACACCGCAGCAAGTCCATTTAAACACATTACAATTAAATGTACTTTCATTTAATACTGTTAGTACCAAGATAACATAATGACTCAACAATTAATTGTGTCAATTCACATCATTCAAGGTTCGATGAACTTTCTTAAAGGGTCGTTTACGTTAAGCCGAGAAAATAGTACAGTATGTAGTAAAACTAACGAACATACGCACCAGGCTCTTATTACATAGGTCTAGGTTGATGTTCGCCTATTTTTATTACCACAGACTTACTGCGCTAGTAACTATTCAAGTGTATAGGCGTCCTAAGGGCTCCTTAGCTGAGGTTAGTCTTTATTAAGCCATAGAATCCCACGTATAAGGTTTTATCTCGCCCACTGCATCGGAAACGGGTGCACGGGCTGTTATCCGTATCTTAATTGTCAGGTTATCCGGGATTCCAAGCGAAAGCTCTAATTATCCGGTTCGGGCGTGTTTTAAAATTACGTTTAATGTCACTTCGGGTTGTAACGATTCATTAAAATAAGAGCACGTTTTATCGATGCTTCTAATGACGTCGAGAGTGCCGTCTGTATTAAATACATTGGACACTTAAACAGATTACTTATATTACTGGATATCGTTTCTGTGTGTATGCTATAATAATAGTCATTTGTATCAGTATCCAGAGATTAATTGATGACAGATGACTCAGCATTTATCTCTCGTAAGTCTATTCTTCATATAAGCTGACTAAGATATTGTATTTCTGCGTCTCACCTTGCTAATCACTCAACTTTCTCATTGTTACTCACGATACAGATACGAACGAATCAACAAGATTGGCGTATTATGTTGCAGGATTTCCTTTAAACCAATATCAAAGCTCAGCTAATGGAAGTAACTTGATCCTTACTTAACGATTGCATTTACAGTTCCCTTTGACAAGAAATCTGAATAGCTTCAAATTGAAAAGACATAAATAAGATCACAAAATGACAAGCTCTCGAATCAATATTACTTATTGAAACTGTTTCAGAGTGAATCAACGTCATATATAGTTGATTGGAGCTGAAAATAAATAATACACTATCCCACCGAGTCGAAAATTTAATTTCGTCATGTCCACGTCCATTTCAGCGCATCATCGCACCGATGTGAGTTGACACGACAGCGCATAAATCTACCTGAAACAGTTTTATAATTTGAACTTTATTGTATTAGTAATACGGATTGGCGTAGTTTGATGAGCAGGCGTACCTTACTCTCTTTATTTCCCTAAGTGATGATCCCGTGATTTAAAAAAAAAATTGTTGATAAACTCGACGTGTCACGTTGTCTTGCGACCGCTATTATAGAATGAAAATTCAAAAGTTTTTCTTACTACTGACACAAGCGCTGCCAACTTTGTGAGAAGATGAGAAACTACATAGAGTTTACGTAATTTTTATTTCCCTAGTGGAAAATATGTATTGCCATCAATTCTTTTTGAGATATTCATATTTATATTATAAAAATATGTTCTGTCTATTGATGATTAATCTAGATATAATAGCAGATAAATTCGACTTAATAAAGGAGCCAAATGTAGATAAAATAAGATTCGTAGAAATAAGCCTGTGTCTGTTTCATACATTCAATCTACATGTATATTACTAAGAGCCGATTATTCCAGCGCCAGTAAAGTTTTAACTGAGGAATAATTGAATATTTGACAATTCTTCCATACTAAAAACTGTCAAATGTCAATATTATTCACATATGATAGTGATTAAAAATCGGCCCTAAGTCTTTAAAAAAGCCTTTGTAATATTTTTGATACAAACATCAAAACCCAAACGCATTACCTAACCTATTTTTAATAACAACCAAACCAACAACACCGTTTCATTGTAAAAATCGTAATTAATAAACACGGTAAATGAAATCACAATTCCTTATTGTTTACTGGTAACATTGATTAAAGATGTTGTTACAAAGATTAGAGAGGTAATTTAATGCAAATTACGAATTCAAATTAATTTCATTAAGATTCAAAGCATGGTAGCAACACACAAATTGCTGTAGGAAAATGGAAGTTCTGTGCTTCATTTGAACACGTATTTTATTTTCCTGAAGTTAGTGATTTTATTTTGTAAAACCATTATGTTTCACCTTTGAATGCCTGAAGTGCACATAGTATATTATACCTACAATGTAGACCTCACTTTATGCCAATTAATAAGTAAAAGAGAGTGGCCCTATTGCCATTGATGAGCACAATTCCAAACTTACATAGTACAATGACTGAGATTTTGAAAACCTGAAAAATCACCAATAACCTGGGCCGGAAATCAAATATGAGACCCATTATTCGGTAGTTACGCTATTAGCCAGTCGAACAAACTAGCCTATCTCTTTTTTCTCACTTTGTAGTTAGACTTGTTCATTTTAACACAATGTTTTCTGTAACTCGTGTTTTTATTTCGTATACCTATTCTATTGTATTTACAAATCATCATCGACTAACGATGCACTCGTTTGATCATTAAAATAACGAAGTGTCGCACTTCCAACACTTTGTCGGTCAAGTACGTTTCGAAATTTCGACAGAATGTTTTATTTTATTGAGTTTTGATCTGTGTTTATTTACATTTAATGTAAAGAGTAAACTCATAATTTTAGTAGATTACCAGGTTGGCTTAAAGTCTTTCAACTATCGAAAAATCTCAGGTAGGTATAGTACGAAATTTGAAAAATACCATACTATGACTTAGAATTGGCGAAATAAAATGGCCGGTACATTTAAGATTGTATTTCTGCCTGTTTTAAAGTTTATTATTTATTAACACGATGGCAGTATTCTGACGGTATGTTCTCTGTGTGTAGGTAGCGCGGGCGCGGGTGCGGGTGCGGGTGCGGGTACCATGGCCGGCTGATGGAGCCGGGCTGGTGGTCGCCCTCGCCGTCGGCCTCGCCGCCGCCGCCGCCCCGCGCCCCGCCGCCGCGCTGCCGTTGCCGACAACCCTTCTCTACCAGCTACACCTGCTTGCCGCACTATGGTATGGAGCATCCTCTTACACCTATATTTTCATGACTTAGCCACGACGCATTCTAAGCCACTACTCATTCTATAAGCCTAGTTTTATCATAGCGAGCAACCAAATCACAATTTTAACAAGCATAAACACATTCAAGTCATGCCCATACCCAGAAAACAATTTGTGAATTAGTTAGGTTGAAAATAAAATCACTAAATGTGACCCTTGTGATCCTTCGATTTGTATAAGTGTCCCATCAGTCACTGTAAAAATAAAAGGTGTATAGCCAGAAATGGTAACATACGTATAGAAATACATAGATTTTAAAAAAACATTGTACACTTGGCACGTCCCCTTTCCACTCCATTAAACACTTTTATATTTAACAGAACATAAATTAAACTTACTACCCCAAAACCGTCTTTCCCGTAATTCTATCGCGGAAATAAATCTTGGAGCTCTTTGTAAAGATTCACAATCTCCGCGGTCTAAGCCAGGCAAGGAAAAACACATGGCGACTTTTCTATGCTCAAAAAAGCTCCGCTCGAACATATTTCTTCCGACAACAACGGTCAACACAATTTTATTCTAACGAATGTATGGCTGGCCGGCGGATGTAAAGCACTTAGTCTCTTCCATGTGATCCTTACATTTAAGAGATCCTTTTCAAGTTGTTTTGTCTTCTAAAAGATTTACGTTCAATGAAAACGTACTTAACCGATTCGACAAAGTTTAACTTACGCAACACTCTCCTGCACGCACATCGGCGTATAATCAGTTTTAGCGATTCCGAGCACACAATCTAATTCCTCGGGGCAACGATAATTGAATTACTTTTGTCTGCCAATCATTGAAACTCTATCTTTTGTGTGAGACTGTTAATTCAAAGGGAAATAATAAAAGGAAAGAACAATTTGTAGATATTGTCTAAAGTTTATTCCGTTAGAATGCTTCTTTTATAGAATTAAGTATTCCCTTTTCACTTATTTTAAGATTTGTAAATGGTACTTTTTCTGATAAGAGAGGTAGCGAATGGCTTGTTCTGTCGTAAAATAGGTATAAAAGACTGTACAAAAATATAAGGTTCACAGAATTTCGTTTTTATGTTTATTATTAGGTTAACAATTGGTAACACGCTCGCTAACCTCCGGCCATTTGTATCGACTTCACGTAAACCGAAATTGTTAAGAGGTGAAATAACAAATAAAAATAGGTAAATGACTGTCATATAATGTTGCGCATTGTTTTACTTCTTTTTTGTTATGTATACTGCTTGCTGAAGAGAAATAAGGGAAGTAAGTAACTATGTTTGTGAACACAAAACACACAAAAATATTTGGAACATTAGGCCGTACCTTATTCAAGTTCTTATCATAATGATACTTCAGAATAAAAGAACACTCCAAATTTTCTTCTCATCCTTGATAATGATTCAATGGATGCTGAAACATTTAAAGGTTAATATGAAATTAGGATTCAAAATAGCCTGCAACAAATAGGTATGTCCTTTAATCTAGTCTAATCTTCTCAAATTCTAAAATGATTAACAGATGGATGGCCAGATGGCGAGGAAGAGTCATCAGGAGGTGCCTTACGTGAGCGGGAGTTACGTTCCCTGCACCGCACCGTACCTGCACTGCGCCGCCGAGAGCTTGATACCCGCGCCATCAAACATCACTTCTACCCAGAGGGGGGATGGGGGTAAGTACCGTCGAAAAGTTTGAGAATAATAGAAACAATCAGGAACAAATAAAAATAACTAATATAATGGTGCGTCCACATTCGGTGGATGCGCTACTGCGATGCCGTAAAGTTATGCATAATATGCGAATTACCGAAAACCATTTACTTCCGACTTGATGATCGTATTTGAAACCCTTTGCTCGACATTCACGCTACTGACACTCTTAAGGTAAACTTATGAAAGTAACTACTACTCGCTATAGCCCCACTACTTTACACGGGACGTTCCCAAGAGAGCAACATGTTAACGTAACGATGGACAAAAGGTATTTGCAAGTTTTTGTCATAAGGGAAACTTGAAATAGGTGTGGTTGATGAATTCGGGCTACATTCGTATGTACATACCTTTCTTTCCTTCTTTCTTTTCTATTCTCTGTTGACTGAAAGCCTTAAATTAGCTACGTGTGCACCCCATGGGATCTATTTCGGGGCCTATAAGCTTGGCAGGACCGTGATTGGCAAAAACACCCATGTTTACGTTTTAGCTAGTTTATCTTGCTTCTGAAGTCTTCTAAACCCATGGGATATAAAACAGTGCTGTCTATCAGAAGAAGAAGAAGACTTTACGCTTCTCGGATTAACTATAGATACACACTTAAACTGGAAGTCCCATACGCAAAAAATACGAGCAAAGCTCTCCAGGTTTTCTTATGCCTTACGCGAACTCAAAAAGACAACAAACTTACAGACCGCTCTAATAATTTACCATGCATACGCGCAGGCCTGGCTTAGCTACGGTATAATTTTATGGGGAAATAGCACGGATTCACACACAGTATTTACTTTGCAGAAAAAACTAATCCGAATAATAGCAAATATCGAACAAACTGACAGCTGCAAACCATATTTCCAAAAATATAAAATACTTACCCTTACCAGCCTATATATCCTGGAGATATGTAAATTTGTTCGAAAATACCCAGAGTTTTACACTTCCCGCGATCAGAAGCAAACCAACTACTCATTACGCCACAAAAACAGATTGAACCTACCCACATCTAGACTAAAAATTTACCATTCTGGCCCTCTGGTAATGTCTATAAAGATATACAATAAACTGCCAAGGGAAATTGTAGAGGTAGAAAAAACCAATATATTCGTATCGAGACTAAAAAAATATTTAATAGATAAATGCTATTACACTCTTAAAGACTTTTTTGATGACAGTATAATTTATAAACAATAATTCTTAATAACAATTTGTTAACTGGACTGTAATTTTAATATTATGTATAATTTGTTAATTAATAATAATAATTGGTCTTTTTGTTTTTTTTTCTTTTTTGTTCGTATAAATTATATCTAAATGCTCTAATATTGTTTATGTAATGTTTTTTTTGTATTAAAATTATATATTTTCCTTGCTGTGCCCGACAGGGTCCACAATGAACTGTATTATTCTATGTTACCACCTAAGTAAAACATTGTGGAACGCAATAAAGAATTTGAATTTGAATTTGAATTTGAAGTATGTCAATTTATGACTTACCTGTTAAACAATACGGTTCCATATAACTCCTTCGATGCAAATATGAGTAGCATGCCCTGAACAATTAACCAGTCAACTGCTATTTACCCAGTAAGCAGCTTATTAGCTTCATATAAACTGGAACAGCTGAAAGTTAGAGTTGATAATGCTCCGGAGTACTCTCCATTGGCCCAAGTTAGGTTAGGGAAAAGTTGGTCTGTTCAATGTTCATAGCTGGTGGTCAACTTAATCAACTTCGGTTTGAGTTACTCTGTTACAGACTATCCGGGGCATCCCACCAAAAATTATATGGTAATAGTATATAGACATAAATTATAAAACTAGTATAAGTAAGTACTTTTGTTATTCCCAAAAGGGCCTATAGTTGAAACACATTATAAAAAAATAGATTTTGAATTTTTGTGCAAAGGGAAAATTACTATAGTCTACGGTTTATAATAGTGGTAAAATTGAAAGCCCTTTGATTTACAATGAAAAAACCATATCATAAATTTTACAGCATGCAACAGGAGATAAAATACATATGAGAGCCAAAACTAGTACCAAATTCAGACAGTAAATACAATAAAGATAAATTCAGAAGTTCACAGTCATAAAATTCAACGACTGACAGTAACCATGTTCATCAAACAAACTTTTGAAATATCACGGATAAGTGCCGACCTACTGTTTTATTACTTTTTCCAGCTCTCCTAAAAGTGGCTCGATCAATATATCTTATCACATTGCAAACGAAATAAATTGTGAAGTCAGACGAGTAACTGAATAAGACAAAACGGTAATGATCCTAATACAGGATTGGATTGTTTTGACGTTCGTTTATTTTTTGTTTATTTACCTTCGGGTACAGGAAAAACAATGTTTTTTCGAACATCTGATCAAGAAGCTCGTGTTTTAATCAAGTAGAGAATTAAGTTACAGCGTAATGTGCATGCGGTAGTAAGATATCCAGAGCCAAGATTAAGCTAAATCCTTCGGGATTATACGAGCACGTCCAATATCAGGCATTAATTACAGATTCTGAATTATTGGCTGCAATTTACTTCCTCAGAGCGCTAAACAACTAAATTGGATACGGTTTTATTTCGATACGCGTTATTAATGTATGAATTATTCATGTAATCTAATCACTCGGTCACGCATCTATATTGATTTACATTATCACTGTAATAATCTCGGCTCACATTAGGTGTTGAGATATAATATACTCCCGTAACTAAGTACATAAGATTCGGAACCCAAGATTTGACACGACACGTCATTAACCTCTTCAGTCGCAGATAAATGTTCTGACAAGCTATGTAGCTCGTGAACACGAATCTCGAATTTCCCCCGAGTTCGTGACAAGACAGAAGATGAAGACATATAATATCATCATCAGTCGTGAAGCAACTTTATTCCGGCTACAAGATAAATTCGATGCGAAGGTACAGTCAGCGGGGAATTCAAGGATCTGATACGGACATAATGCGACCGTCTCATCGGACGATAAACGAATTTATGTTTCGGATATTGACTGCGTGGCGCGGCTATTAATGGCGCAGGTTTCTGTCGGTGACAGTACCGCCCCTCCTCATACATGTTAATAACGATTTAATTTTAAAATTGCCTTCCAAATGTATGTTTTTTCACGATTGGAACGAATAAATTAAATTGCGAAATTGGAAATCCAATTATTGTTGATAAATTCCGTAACCCATTTCTGAAACGTTATTTTGGATAATAGCAGAATATAAGGGGAAAAATCCACCCTTTGTCAACGTTCATAACTCTTTTAGCGAATTTTCATAGAGTGACGCTTCCTGGATGTCCAAAAGCATGACAAAAAACGGACTACGTACGAGGAAATTGAATGCGGAGAGCGAACGCTACATTGAAAAATCTTTTTGCCCCATCTTCACATCCATCTGAATGTCATTGAATAGATCTTTCAAACTGTCTCACATTGAATGAAATAAGAATTTCTTAAAATTATATTTCAGGTATTTTCCTAACAATTTATGTTCATAGACGGAAGTTATATTTACGTGCTTTCATAATATATGTGACGTAAACAGGGCAGACCCACTCGCTGAATCCCAAGTGTGTCCCTTAAGGTAGTAATGAGTGTATTAATAATTCACACTACTAATTGCTGTAATAGAGGTAAGCCTTAAAACATGGATTACTGGGTAAACTTGCTGCAGACTGGCAGAGCGTCGCCGCTAGAATTATGCTGCGGTAAAATAATCGCAGCAATTTAATTATGTCGCGGGCTTCGCACGCCTCGCTTCGCGGATCTCTGATACGATAGAATTAAGGCGTGATTTACATGCACGACGGCACAAACTCGGTACATCAGCTTGTGTTCGTGGTGACTGAGAGGTGATTCTTGCGAAATTGTTTTAGAAAATGACCTGTGTTTAACAAAGAAGTTGTTTGCAGATGGATTGTGTGCGGAGCCGCTTTCCTGGCCCATCTCCTGTCTACAGGGTTGCAGCTAGCCTACGGAGCGCTTCATGTATATGCCTTGAGACATCTTGGACCCTCTGCCGACCACGCTGGTAAGATTGAACTTATTACTTATGTAAATTGGATCTGACTCCAAGTTCCATTTCAGCACAATTTCTATTTTTTACGTTATCATTGTCTTTTACGTTGGTATCCCATAAAGTCCAATCGTACGTGAAATAAGAATTTTGCTTGCATTAGGATTGTATATTACTTATTATTATTAGAGATGACAAATAAGAAATAAAGTAAGGACGAGGAAACGACAATAGCTCTTATATGTCATAACTGAATGTAAGATTGAGGAAGAAAATAATTTTGAATGCGTAGCTGTGCCCGACGAGGGACTGGAAGTAGAAAAGTAATCTATCAACGGCAACCCTCCGGATATAATACTTAAATAAACAGACAACGACGAAAAAATATTTACGACGCAAAATGAAAGCGTAACACCGTTACACTGAAAATAAACGAGTTCACTTCACAACTTTTAATTACTATCATTTTGTTAAGTTCCAATTTAATAAAGAGGCTCATCTGCTCACTTGTTACAACTTTGTACGCCAGTTAACATTCGTTAAGTTTTTAGTGACGTCTGTGTTTAGTCGTAATTTACGGGAACAAAGCCGGGAGATTGTGTTTTGACAACTACAATTTAATATTGGTTATTAAGTAAATGAACTTTCCTAGCCACCGGTATTTGTGGACCAGGTTGATTTATTGAATTAATTTTCCAAGATTCACGACTCGGGTTGAATATTAAGAGGCAGAAGTAATTTCGGTTATGAGCCAGGTCTTTGTTGTCTGTGGTGGGAGGAGGGGCGGCGGACATAACTCTGTCAGGTTCGCCATTTGCGCCGCTTTCAAATTGGAATTTAGCGACGTTAACAAGTTGAGGTGAAACCGACTTGGTAAAGGGGCAGGTCCTTACCGAACATCGCACTTATTTGATAACACGTCATAAAAACATAAACCTTATTTTACTTCACATCGGATCAATATTGCCAAATTTTATTACAACACAACCGCATTATCCCAATAAAATTAAAAACGTTAATTAACTTTAATCCTGTTTCGTATTGTTAAAATATAAAATGCAATAAATATTGGGTTGGGCTCAAGCAATTATAACTCTTAAGTCTCGGAGATAAAATCGACAGAATCTCATTATCTGTTACATCCTGAAGGCTAATTTAATTATGGCGGTTTTAAGTTCGTCGACGGTTTCTTCGAACGTTGCTGTGGGGGGAGAGATAATGCGTACGACAATATTTATATCGAGGAACGGGATTTGGGTAGGGGATAATTGTGTTGAGTGAGATCAAGGAACGATGGGAGGATGGGGGCAGGATTTCCCAAATTACCCGAGTCTCAGTTTCTATCTAATGTGTTTCGCCGCCCACACTATCGTAACCAGACTAATTAGAGCTAAAATAAGAATTTATCTGCAGTTCCGTTCACATCGAACATGAAATTGTGCGAGAACACAATGGACTATTGTCTGTTATCATAATGCTCGTGATAAGGCTGTGTGTGCAGATCTAACGACTCATTGCTGGTAATGTTTACATTTCTAATTATATTGTGCTAATTAACAATAAACTGCTTCATTGATCTGTCGTAAAATAAGTTACGAGTATAGTATCTTTGGTTAAACCTTTGAGTAGTAGAAATACTTATTAGTTCGTGTTTCAATGTACACAAAAAGTTTGGAATAGTGCCTCATGAATGCCCAGTTTTACTTTCGAATACGATAAAACTAATAATACAAATAGTAAAGTAGCCTTTACCTTTCCCTCCATCCAATAACAAGCATATTGTTATCTATTGGTCTAACTAAGCAATGAAGGACACCTCTATATAGTTCAATTCGGCACAATTTTACCGTTCGTTGCCCATGAACAATGATCCAAATGTTATTGTTGACATGACACTCAGAGGTAACGATTTTCCTCGTGACACCAGCAGGACTTTTATCGCTCAGATTTTATTGTACGTCCGTCTGTGTCAGTGTTGGGATGTAACCCGAGATCGATTTAACTCCGGCCACGTCCCTAGGGAAAAGTATCAGAAAATGTAGAACAGTTCCATTCTTAGAGAATAAAGCAAAATATGGAAACGTGTCTTTAAAAGATAACATTGTCTGTTGTTGTAAAATATTCTGCAGATATACATGTGATTATAGGAGTATAATACAAAGAACATAAGGTTAACATTGTTCCCTAGAATGTTTTATTCTCCGATACAGAAGTACGTTAAGAACATTTATATCTCGCCAATAATGTTATGTACTAGGATTTTTAGAGAGTCGTGGTGGCTCGGAGGTTTAAGACGCCCGCTTCTTCAACGTAACGGTGCGGGCTCGAAACCTATCAACAGCAAGTACCAATGTGACTTTTTCCAGGTTTTATGTACTTTCTCAGCTTATTTGTTTTTAGTGTAGTGTGTGTGAAGTGTTTATTAGTGAAGAAACCTAAGCATATAATTTCTAATTATGAGTTTAAAATTACCATTGAGCGCCGTGGCGATTAATGGCCAATCCTTCTCCGTGTGAGAAGAAGCCTTTGGTCAGCAGTGGCCACATATAGGCTGTTGATTTTGTACTATTTTACACCACAAATAGTGATAACGGTCCTATCACTATAAATTAACTTCATTAACAATTTCTAAATAAGAAAACCCTTTGAAAAATGTACCTTCCAATTTTCGCCTACAATTTCGAACACCCAAAAAGCCAATACCTGACTATTTCAAAAAACGTTTACTAATTGGATTACAGCAATCAATTAACGAGAGTCTGAAAGTTAGGTCCTGTCCTGAAATTCGAACAAAAAACGTTGTCAACACGTTTCGCCCTGATTACTTCCTCGTGGGACTATCAGGACAATCGACTGAGCCTTTAATTCTCGCGTTGAAAAGTGATTTGACACTTTGATAAAGCTGATCGAACCGTGTTTAGGGTTCTTTATATAGAAATCGAACAGAATGTCGTTTGTTTATGTGTCGAATTTTTTGAAAGTTTATAGATAGGTTTCATATGAAAATACCGCAAGAAAAGTTATAATATAATAAATTCATTAGTAAGTACATGTACCTCCCTGAAAAAGAAAGTAACATTATTCTTATCAAGACTTTTAAATATTCTGTAGCAAGAAATTAATATTATCTAATTAGTTTACATGACATGACACTGATACCTAACTAAACAAAAATGTTGATGTACCATTATCATAGTTTGCTAGAGCAACTCACCCGTACGCGAATTCAGCTCACATTATCCGGATTTTCGAACTAAAGGAAGCGCTGAGTGAGGATCATGTCGAAAGTCAAACTCGAACTGTTCTAGAATAAACAAAGTGTACGTGTAACCTCGTTATTAACAGGCATACAACGTTGAATACGTGAGATTAATCTATTCCCAAAAGTTGTCTAATTCCCACACACAGGGAGCAAGCCCGCAAAACTTTAATCCAACGAATTTGAATTGAAACGTGGGGCCCTCGTCAACGGGAGCGAAACTACAGAAAAGTCAATAGAAAATGTTAAAGAGTTAAAACGCGCAATATTGGACTGCGAACTATTTTTACAGAACATGAAAAAGTTATTGTTTTCTACTATTTTCATTTGATTTAAACTTTTCTGTATTTTGTTTAAACTGAAATTGGAAAACTAAACTAACATGACTTTTTTTCTAACGCCTTTGTGCCTATTATTATTTTTCTTTATGTATGTCATTTCGTTTTCTGTATGTACTATATTTTTAATGTTGTACAATAAAGATATATTCTATTTTTTCTATGAATTCTGTGCTCAAAATTCAAACTAAACAAAAATATTATGATGAACTATTTTCAATTGCACAAACCCTATTTTCACTAATCACCCTTTGTTTTCCCTAGTTTGGGCTGGTGCACTATGCGTGGGAGTATCTCGAGCTGCAGGTGCATTTGCAGCAGGTCGTAGAAGATCTCCTCGCCTGGTGGCACTCCTCGGCGGCCTGTTACTGCCTCTCGCTTGCCTCTTCACTTCATTCGCCACGCAGCTCCATCAGACCTTACTCAGTTACGGTAAGTGTATTCCCTTGTAATCTGATAAACTTGTTGTTACTCGTTCGTTGTGCTGTATAGGATTAGTTTACGAGTTTTCTTTTTAAATTTGGATGGAAGTATATAGTGAGGTGAACCTTGCGTAGATAAGAATTTTGGGGTACCTTTTTTAATAAAGAAATGTTGGTTAATTGAAAATTGCGGTTAGTAGTGACTAATCCGATCAGTGAAATATACTGAGAAAAGCTTTACTAGTTTCAAGCCACAGAGGGGCTCTTCCTCATGAACTCTTCGTTTGCGATGTCGAGCAGCCTACTGTATATTATAGTATATTCACGTGAGTAACCCGCGATTTTTAGTATTTTATTTATATACGTTTTATATATTTGAGGGCCGGTCTAAACTAATCACCCAATATTGATGGATTTCGTTACCGATGTCAATAAAACCTTGAACACTTTAATCTAGATGTTTTGGTGACGTAAAATGAGAGATGTATTAAATTGGTTGACAAAATGGAAATCACCACAGCCAAACCAAAAGCTAATTTCGTCAACAAATTCTATTTCGATTTCCAATCATGACTTGTAAATCGTTCGAACACACAAACAACTTCACCAAAACACAAACTAAGGAAAATGCTTCTAAACAATATAAAGTGCTTTTAAGGCTCGGAAGAACGAACACTTTATTTTAACCGGCAACAATTGAAGCAGAAAACTCTTCATTTTCGATTTCAGTGGTGGTAAATTTTGTGTTATCTTTGTGAAACAATAGCGAAGCTAAGTTTAGTATAAAATGCGGGTTCACTTCAATAAGTTATCCTCTCCACACATTGCGGGTGCGCTGTATATTGAATCAAGCCCTCTTGTTAGTTTTGCTTACTATTCGAGGTTGCTTGCGAAACGTAGTTACTTTATACCTGTGTTAGAAACTAGGGCAAATTAATTTTAGATATGTTTAATCTTTGTAACATTTTAGTATAAGTTTTGATCAATATTCATCCAAATCAAAGGTGATTTTCTCTGTATTTTTACCTAATGCTTAAAACAATAATTTACAAATTATGTGTTTTTCTTAATGAATGAACAGAATTTAGAAGGTCGCTGAACAGTCATGCTTTCTCATTGAACTAAATATCAGAAAAATAATGAAACCGCAATAATTCATACTTGTACTAAATATTTATGTTGCCTTTCGCTACAGTGATTCGATTCTTGGATCGGACAGCAGTAATGGAATTTCGTAGGGAATTTTTTCCAAGCTTGGAATTGTGCCATATTGTATGGGACTCAATAACGCCACGCAACGTTGTGGGTTCCTTCTCCATAATTACACTCGACGTCTATATGATTTATAAAAATAAATATTATACTACCGACTTCTTACTAGTATGTATATTTTCCAACTCAAAACCAATAACCCATGGTAGAGCACTGAGGAACTATGGACCTCCTCTAGATAAAAGGATTCGTGGTTCACAGTTTACAGGTCATCAGACATCTAACAAGCACAGCTCCTGCACGGCTCCAACTCAGCAATTTTATTGTCATTTAAATATGAACTTTAAATCGTATGACATATTTCATAACTTGAAAAGAAAACAGCTGAAACGCTTTCAGATGGTGTCACCAAACGGCATTCTTTGTTTAATACTTTACGAATGTAAACTGAGCGTACTTTATAACTTCTGGTATGTGGAAAAACGCGTGATGTTATTATTTATGCGTGTGTTTAACCACAATATTTATATTCAAGATGGATACTGAATGTAAATATTTTACTCAATTTTGTGAAGAAAATATACGTACGTTCATTCATAACATTCTTATCTTTGGAATCAGTACACAGAAATATAGTCAAAGTGGAAACTATTCATACATGTTCTCAATTCTCTTTGCATTTAAGATCAAGTCTGCATACGCTATGCATAGGTAGATATGGATCCCATAAGACTATTGCTACAAATCAAACGCAATTATTCTTCTTATAATGCCTCTTCTAAATTAATTATCGTAAACTTATTACACTTTACTTCATCTGGGGACCCGACTAGTATTTGTTGTCGACTGTAACTTTTAACCACGAATGAGGCAGGTCGACAATAACCATATCTTCCTCATTTGATTGACATTGATTATGTATAATCTGTTATCTTAAAATCAGGTGTTGTGCTGGGCGTGGGATGCGGATTCGTTCGTGAATCTGCTGGACTGGTCCTTGGTGCCTACTTCAGAGACGAAGACAGTTTGTAGAGCTGGTCGCCCATGCCGGAGGAGGAGTGGGCATTGCACTCTTCAGCGTCGCTTATAAGGAAGCCGTGGGGTAATCTGATAGAAATATTTTAAAACATAAGCTTGAAATTATGTGCAATCTAATTTTGTTAACTATAAAGCTTGAATTATTTGAATTTCAGTTACCAAAGGAAGACTAAATTTTATTAAAAATGTTTTACAAACTTTGTAATTTTAACCAGGAAATTAGGTTGGCGTCTGGGCTTACAAGCAGTCACCGGCGTGCTCGTCCTCGCCTTCTTCCTAAGTGCTGTATACCGCAGCGCGTCGCTTTATCACCCCCAACGACGCGCCATCCTTCACCTCAAAAACCAAAGACGAAAGGTAAGGCCGGTAAGAACAAACTTCTTAAATTATTCCTTCAACCCACCGATTTATATCTTCGACAAATTGTTTTCTCTCAATTTTCACCGAGAACTTTACACTAATTTTATTTAAGACACATTTCATTTACTTAGATATAATTTTCGCAACTTTGCTTTCAACGTTTTACTTAGAGAGTAATTGGCAATTTAAAGATGTTACGACCAAGTTTAATTGATTGAGCATAGTTAAATAAACTCGTTTGTGTTTGTGATAGGTAAAAGAAAAGAAAGGCCTAAAGAGAGGACCAATCTTCGATTTAAGCCCTCTCCACTCTCGACCGGCAAAAGTTTTGTTGCTGGCGGCCGGGATAGCTGCTTTTGGACTTTATACTCCCGTCTTTTTTCTGGTAAGTCTAATTGGTAAAGTTAGGAAATCAAAAGTTTTTGTGATTAATATTAATGTTTGTTTTTTAAATAGGCTTTGCAAGGCTTTCAAGAAGGTTTAGAAGAGAGTGCTCTAGTGTTGTTACAAACGTTCCTGGGGTTCGCTGCGGTGCTCGGTTGTGCTGGCTTTGGGCTCGTGCTAGTGCGACCGTCAGCGCAGTGCCTCGTTTCGAAGCAATATCTTTGTCAAACAGCAATGGTTGGGATAGGTGCGCAATTTTAAAACTTATATTTCTCCATATCGATACGTATACATTATTTCAGACGCTATAAAGCATACAATGTTTGCAGGTATTTCAATGCTCGCCCTAAGCAGCGTGGAAGGCTATCACGGATACGTGCTGTTTGCTTGGATGTATGGACTTTGTTTAGGAGGATATTTATATTCTATGAAGATGCTCACAATGGAACGTGTTCGGGGTCGGCATTTTACAAGAGTTTGGGGTAAGAATATTTGATGTGCCACCCTTTCAAGCATAGATTTTGGTTTTTCAATAAAATATTTAACTTTTCTGTATGTATAGGTTTCGTGCAAGGTGCTGAAGCTATCCCTGTCATGGTTGGTGTACCAGTAACTGGTTACATTAACCAACAAGTGCCGAGGGCAGGCTTTTATTTCTCGTCGGCAGCTACGCTGGCGGGAGCTATGTTGTTGTTCTTCGTTGGGTTTTCTAAGCGAGAACCGGAGCCACCGCCGCCGGCTCCCGCGCCTACACTGGTGGAGTCGTGTCCATGTGTGACACCGCCACCTCGCTGCGAACCTGCTTGGTGCGCTTGCAGCGCTGGTGGGGCGACGGCGTACTGTGCATGGCCGGGGCCTACGTGTGGCTCGCGGCTGCCAAAGTCGCTGTCGTACGCGGCGCCGCTGGACCGCGCGTGTTGCTCGGCAGCGCAGTGTCCGGACTGCTACAGGCGCGCGCCGCCGCTGCGTCCGTCGCGCTCTGTGCCTGAAGGGCTGGCGACGCGCGGCACCATGTGGTCGCGCGGCGGCTCGTGTCGCGCCGCCTGCCGCCGCCGAGAACATCATCTCATTGAACAAATTACCACATCAGTATGATGTTAACTCTCAAACAATAGTGCTAATCCCGTTCTCCGCATGTTGGAGAGAGCGTTATTTTCTTTTTTAGTGACTGAAGACATTGTGTAAATAAATGTTTCCGTAGTAAATGATGTATCTACTAATTGAAGTGAACGTTGAAGTGATAGATTTATTGAGGAAGCAATAAAGTGAAACAAAATAACTTTTGATCCTACAATTACGCCACAAACCAGTGAACTGAACTGTTTTCCTTTGTCTTTTGAATAATATCGCGTACAATAAAACGTTATTATTATTTTCAAAACGGTCCAATAGCACGGAGTTGTTCCTGGGATTGGGTCGTTTTCATATTTGCTTGTTAAACAAAAATCCACTCCACATAATGTATGTACCTACCTGTATCTTCCTTGGACATCAATCAGGCCAGAGAGTAGAACGTTAACTGTAAAATAAAATAGCTAATTTTTCCTACTTCTTAAAGTACTCGTGGGACCTTCGTCGTAGTTAAATATTCATATTTTATAATGTAGCGACCACCACTTTTGAATCATAAATTCTTCAATCTTTGTGTCATATTTACCTATCTTACTGAAACTATAATAATAAAATATTTGTCCTTATGTTAATCAATAAATAAACAGATATATTATAATACTTACTGTGAGGATATCTCTATGTTTTACCACAATAGTCTGTTTGATGAAAATAAAGTCAATTTTAGAGAACATATATTGTACTAAGTTAAGAACTGAGTTGTATAGTTTTGTTTCAATGTTACGACTATTGTTTAGATGTACCTAATGATTATATTTTATCGTTACAAGATTTGTTGATTTTGTACCAAAGTGTGATTACAGTTTTGGTGATAAATAAAGAATAAAGAGTTTAGCATAACTGGTTACTTTTATTTCGCATGTTTTTTTCCTAATTTCTTTGATTTCTTTCTACCCTTATGGGATAAAAGTGTGAGTTTATATAATGTAAATGTTTATTTCCTCATAATTATTATGGGAGATTAAAAGACAGATCAAAGGCATTCATGTTTTTAACATTCAAATATTGCGTATAACAAGATTCATTGAATGGTACAAAAATAAAATAAAATCAAATAGCTTCAGGTGAATTCCCGCACATTCGACGTAATGGCGGCGGCAACGATTTAGCCGAATAAATAAAAAAATAACGCTTTATGTATTGTTATAGCCAAATATAGAACATTTTTACTACATCACAAAGATTATGTTGTTATAGGAACGACCATTTTAGTTTTTAAACGTAGGTAGAACTTAATTATCTTATATTGTATTTCTAGAAGTATATGACCTTAAGATAGAATTCTATCTAAAGACTATATCGATATTCATGAGGTCATTCCCATCCCCATGGATGGGGATTCTTAATCAGATGCAGAATGTAATGCAAAGCATTTTACATAGTGAATGCCATCTGCTTTGTACAGCTTCTTAAGTGTATCAATTATTTTGGAATAGACAAGCTGACAGAATTGTATTTCTCAAACCAAAGAGACAAGACGGCTGGACGTGCCCCCTGAGGCATTTTCAAACGTCGGGCAACAATTTTTTTAATTAAAAAATCCATTAGCACTTTCCACTCGACCCGGGTAACGAAAACATAACAGGATGCAGAGTAACCATACAGTCATTGAATAAAGTTAAATAACATCTATGTTGAAAACTGTAAGTATACAGTCCATCAATAGAGTACTGTCTCTTTTTGTGCCTGTAGGCTTAATTTATTCTGTCTTCTGCAGTAATTCACCGTTTGCCTCCTAGTCCATAAAAAAAACTATCGTTTTTCTTTCTCATCTTAATAATAACTTCTGATACATTTAGTTGCGGGAACCAAGATTCATGTCCCTGAGACGCGCCGGACTTCAGTGTTCCGTTGTTTTCATGGTTATATCTACTGTAGATCCTGGCTTACAGGAGTTGCAGCGGTTTTGGGAGGTGGTGGCGGGCTTGTCCTAATAAAAAAGTCCATCAATGAAATAGTATCGATATTGAACACTAAAGAACCAACCAAACCACAGTCAGAAACAGACTTCAACCACTCAATGTCCAAGTGAACTGTGGTTCATAGGATTACTCGTAATGTAATTGGCGCGTCAGTTTACGCCCACACAAGCGCATCTTGATACGACCTCCTTGATGCCCAGGAGGAAATTCCATCCCAACGTTTCAAGAGGTATGAAGATAGCTGGAGGCGATGTATTGATCTGCTTTTCTTTAATGGAATATTTACTTTATTGTTTTGTTTTAAACTTGAAAATGTGCTGGAGGTTTGTTATGGGTTGTTGTGCTGTTAAGAGTCTGATATGCTGTGATCTGATTGATAAATAGAGGTATATTGCGATTGGTGGTGTTTTTGACAGCATACCTATATGAAGTATTAAGAGTAGTGGTTTACTTTCATTGTAATTATTTTATACAAAACAAAATAAAAACAAACCACATATTTTTTGTTTTCGAGAGCACCAACTAGTAAGTATATTTGTAGACTATATATTTTTACTAACCTACTTAACCTTAATTTATCTTAGCTCATGACTTAAAACTAGGATCCGAACCGCCTTAACCAAACGAGGTAATGTCGTTAAGAAAATCTAATTTAAACTTTCATATCTCCAGACAATATCAATATGAAATCGAATTTCTAATTTTATACTTTGAAGCAGAATTTTCAAATACCGTAACATTGTCTCATAAGTACAGACACCACCACATTAACCTACCCTATAATGGTGTCACGGAGAATCTAACGGGTTACCGGGGCTCCGGCTCGAAGTGCAGGAGAAGGAACGGGGTGGTTTATAGTCAGTAAGAGTCTGACTTTCCCTTCCACCGCACCTAGGCGGGAGAAATCAATCGATGATTTTCTCCCCTTAAAAAAACCCTATAATGGTGAAATGTTTTAATCTATTTTCAACTTCATTTTTGACTACCATAAAATTTAAAATGCCCTGTCACATCTGAATAACTTTATGTGCGGGTCACAGCTGTTGAATCGCTTAACTCGATTTATTGCATATCAATCTGGCACAGTGCAAGTTTAACTCGTTGAGTACTGTCATTATAGACACAATTAAAGAACAATAGGTTGCGGTCACCGGTGACCGCTCGGTGTTTGACAGTTTAAAATAATAAAATATTTAACTAAATATTTATATTTTTTATTTATACGAATATAACGGAAAAAACCTTTGCCCTGTAGTGGGACAACCATAGCTAAAAATAAAATAAAATAAATAAAAAAATTTTCGTCATATACGCTTACACACTCACTTTCTCATCACACTCTACTTCAGCAACTAAATAACTAACAAATCAAACAAATAAAGATTTTGCACAGAAGAAAAAACCAACATACATACATACACAGAAAAGAATCTATGTCTAATACCATAATCCTGTACAAATGTATTCGTCGCACGCGCTATGTCCGTTATTCGTCTTAATTATGAACGCTCCTGTGACGGACGGAACCGTTCTGTGAATACGGAATCAAATTATTCAAAACCCGATCACCTGCCGGATTATCTGTTACTGGCTTTATTTGTGTGCAGGTGGCAGTTTCTAGATAGCCTACGTAGATTTGTAGAGTATTTCTAACGGTCAAACTATATAGGCTAACTATATACGGCTTGAAACTATATAGCTTGAGCTGATGGCATTTTATTGACCCTCTATACTATAATGTTTACGATCATTATACATAACATAAACATCACGCCTGTATTCCCCGAAGGGGTAGGCAGAGGTGCACATTACGGCACTTAATGCCACTGTACCTACAATGTAACAGCCACTTTTTCACTATTTATGTTATGAGTCCCATATAATAGGGGGTGAGCCTATTGCCATATACCGGGCACAATCCCAGACTCCGTGCTACTACTGGGATTTTTAAAAACCCAGTAACACTTTGCCCGACCCGGGAATCGAACCCAAGACCCCTTGCCCGGCAGTCGCACTTGCGACCACTCGCCTAATGAGGCAGTCATCATACGATCACTATCTGCCTATAAATGGTCACTACTGAGCATAGACTTCTTCTCGCAAGGAGAACATTTGAGCATTAATCACCACGCTTGCTCAACACAGATTAGTGATTTCAGGTTTTGCTTCCTGTCCCAGACTCGTAATCTTCCGGGCCACTACGACAGTTATAACCATAGCATTGTTTGCGATATTTACATAATATAACATAACATCCCGCCTTTTATCCCCGAAGGGGTTGGCAGAGGTGCCCACAGAAGTAACACCCATTTTTCACTATTTATGTTATGAATCCCATGTAATAGGGGGTGAGGTTATTACCATATACCAGGCACAATTCTAGACTCCGTGCTACTACTATGATTTTTTTTGAAAATCTCAGTAATACTTTGCCCGACCCGGAAATCGAACCCGAGACCCCTTGCCCTGCAGTCGCACTTGCGACCAATCGGCCAATGAGGCAGTCGCAGCAGCAGCGATATTTACCTTTAATCAAATAGTTCTTAGTAATCTGGTTATAAAGTTTGATTAGGAAGTCAAAAAACCAATTTCGCTAAATGCTTCTTACTAGTTCTTTTTAGCTTGAATGATCCTAAAAATTGTATAGCGTTATATATTTTTGTTTTTATTTCTCCACAAGTATTTATGTCGCAAAACTCTTTGTTCACCCTCGACACGTGATTCACTCTACAATACACACAATATCGTAAAAGTCGAGGGAACGTGAGCTATATTTTAAGTCGATTCTATTGTTTAAATTTCTTTTGAAACATTTGGTCCATTCACCATCAAGTCAGGAGAGAAATAGTGAAATTTTGAACGACGATTGAATTTTTCAGTAATATTGAATTGGGTTTGATTTAAAATCACGAAGTCTTATAGCATTTCCTTAAACA